CCCGGCCGAACTCCGTACTTTCAACCACAACTAAGAATCCATATTTCTAGCCCAGACCTTATTCTCAGCAACACACCTGTGTACACCAACTGCTTAGTTTGCTCCCCTTGGCATCACGACATCTCCAACAAAGCCAGAGTGGAAACCCTCATCTCTTACTCCCACCTTGAGGGGGAGCTCCTGAGATGGAGAACACAGGTCTGTCCAGCCCAGAAGCCAGGAATGCATGCCCTCCGGGGCCAAGCTGCCTCCCTTTGAAAGAATGAAGTCCCGTAAACCCATATCACAGGTTAATAATGCAAAAGGACTGGGCGGGGTAGCTCACGCCTGTGATCCCAGTGACTCAGAGGCTGAGGCAGGAGGATCGCTTGAGCTTGGGAATTGGAGGCTGCCATGAGTTAGATTACGACACTGCACTCTAGCCTGGGTGACAGAGCAAGGCTCTGGTTCTTAGAAAAAACAAAAAAACAAAAAAAAAACGGCTCCAATAAGGTAAACAGCAACAGCAACATACATTAACTCTCCCAGGGGACCAACCCTCCTCATCACCGGATTGCATGACCATGTTAAAATACCGCCACTTGGTGGCGGCATTCTTCGAATGGAAAATAGCATCTGAGATGCTTAAATGACAAAGGCCTGGGCTTCTTCGGGTCAGAGAGTGTCAATTCACACTGAATCGAAGTAGGACTGGACCACAGTCAGCCTACTCTCAGCTTTCCCTTCTTATTCGGGGTCAAAACCAACAGGCGTCTTCCCAAAGCGCCGCACAAGAGTGGGCTCCTTCGTTTTCCTGGAGCAACTCGCTTGCTGGTATCTCAGTCATTGTCAATCAGTCAGTCATTGCAGGGACAGCCATAGACAATTACTCTCGAGCTGGTCCGCCGGTCAATCAGAATCCAATCGAATCCGTTCTTGTGGTCGGTGGATCCACGAGCCTGTACCACCTGCCACCAGCGCCCGGCGCGTTCTGTAGCGGAATCACCGCAGGTGACGGAATCCACGCCCCTGGGCTCCGCCCCTTCGTAGTCGCGCCCAATCACAGATCTGACCCTCCCAGGAGGGCCCGTCCCCCGGCCCACAGCCAGTCACAGGCCCCGTCCTTCCAAAACACTGCCCTATCAGAGGCCAAGCTCTCTAGGAATTACCTACCCTTTTAATGTCCCGCCCCTATGACGGACCCAATCGAAGGGCTCTCCCTCCCCGAAACCCCGCTCCCGGACCGGCGTGTCTCAGGTTTGCGCCACTCTAGGCTGAAGCGGCGGATGACGCAACCGGGCCGCGCCGCGAGAAGGTCACACGGTTCTCCAACATGGCGGCGGCGGCGGCGCTGCGGAGTGGCTGGTGCCGCTGTCCACGGGTGAGCGGCGGTGCGGTGCTGGCAGGGCGGGCTTAGGGGTCTTCTGGGCCTTCGGCCACCAAGGCTTTCTTCTCAGGCCCTTGGCCCTCGCGACCCTTGCTTGGGCTCCGTAGAAAGCTTGGGGTTGGATCGTTGGGTCAGCAGAGGCCAGGACAGGGGGCACAGAGCGTGGCCTGAGGGCGGGGACAGAGCTTACCGGGCAGGGGGCGGCGATGCGCGGAGCCTGGGAGGGAGCTGATCACCCTTCGCCCTCTGATCAGACTCCACGTGTACAGGAGAGTGAATGGTAGCCAGGGCGGCGGCGTCCCGTGGAAAAAAGTAGAGGGGAAGGAAAAAAAACGTGAACTTCACAGCTCTCGGTTAAATGCCAGGTCCGCTACCGAGAGCATTTCTTGTCTCGTTTCTTCTAACGTTCCTTGTGGACGTGCGAGAGGTGGTTCACGCCCTGGCAGGCTCTTAGGTCCACAGGGCAGTGGGAGTCAAGACATGTAAGGCGCACTCAGAAAGTAGTACTTCAAATTGCTCGTGCTCTTCGTTTCTTCTTCTTCTTTTTGTTTATTTTCTTTTTTTTTGAGACGGAGTTTCGCTCTTGTCGCCCAGTCTGGAGTGCAACGGCGCGATCTCGGCTGACTGCAACTTCTGCCTCCCGGATTCAAGCGATTCTCCTGCCTCAGCCTCAGGTGGATCACCTGAGGTCTGGAGTTCGAGATCAACTGGCCAGCATGGTGAAATCCCGTCTCTACTAAAACGCCATCTCTACTAAAAATACAAAAAAATTAGCTGGGCATGGTGTCTCGCTCCTGTAATCGCAGCTACTTGGGAGGCTGAGGCAGGAGAATCGCTTGAACCCGGGAGGCGGAGGTTTCAGTGAGCCAAGATCATCCCACTTTACTCCAGCCTGGGTGACAGAGGGAGACTCCGTCTCCAAAAAAAAAAAAAAAAAAAAGTTATCCTCAAGTAAATGCAGGAGATGGTAGGCACCTGTGTAAGTTTGAGATGTTCCATGGGTTCTCAGAGGTAGGAGGCAGAGAACAGACAGAAAAACGGCCCAGGAAATGTGGAAATGGTGGAGAAGTTGTACCTGGTCTTTTGACATCAACACGCCAGGTTCAGGTGCCGAGTTGAACAGGACCTTCACAGAGCTTTTTTTTAACCCCCAGTTTTTTGTGGAGGCAGGGTCTTGCTATGTTGCCCAGGCTGGTCTCAAACTCCTGAGCTCAAATGATCCTCCCGCCTCAGCCTCCCAAAGTATCGGGATTACAGGCATGAGCCACCAGCTCAGTGCCTGCACAGAACTTAAAGTTCATCATTTGGTAGGAGAATAAACTGCCTTTTACTTTTATTTGATTTTTTTTTTCTGAGACAGAGTCTTGCTCTGTCGCCCAGGCTGGAGTGCAGTGGCACGATCTCGGCTCACTGCACCCTCTGCCTCCTGGGTTTAAGCAATACTCCTGCCTCAGCCTCCCAAGTAGCTGAGACTACAGGTGTGTGCCACCACGCCCGGCAAATTTTTGTATTTTTGGTAGAGATGGGATTTCACCATGTTGGCCAGGCTGATCTCGAACTCCTGGCTGGGTGATCCACCCGCCTCAGCCTCCCAACGTGTTGGGGTCACAGGCGTGAGCCACCACACCCGGCCAGCAAGTGCCTTTTACATGAGGTCAGCCAAGTCTTTGCCCAGTGTGACTCCCCTAAATTACTCTGTTTATAGCCCAACCCTTGAGGGGGACATTGTAGGTTTATTCCAGAGTTGTCCCTGGGGACATTATCGATGTTTGTGTCTGAAAATCCAGTTCTCTCATCTTTGGAGGCTGGCAGAGATGGGGTGGGCTCGCAAGAGAAGACTGCTTGCCACTAGCATAGAAGCTTAGAGTGCCTACTTTCAGACTACGAAATTAAATTGTACTGGTACATTTAGCCTTCTTCCCCGCCATGGGTTGGCATTTCCTGGGACCTGTCTATTTTCCCCCAGTTTCAGGGGCACGAGGATAGATATAGGCCCTGGAGGTACACACACAGCATTTTCTCTTTCTACCAGCTTCTACTTGCTTCTTAGACTTTGGGAAGATTACAGAGTGCCCGGCATGCATCAGGCATAAGATAAAAATTGGCCAATGAGGCCTGGTGCGGTGGCTCATACCTGTAATCCCAGCACTTTGGAAGACTGGGAGAGGGGTAGATCACTTGGTCAGGAGTTCAAGACTAGCCTGGCCAACATGGCAAAAACCCTTCTCTCCTAAAAATACAAATATTAGCCAGGTGTGATGGTGCATACCTGTAATTCCAGCTATTCAGGAGACTGAGGCAGGAGAATTGCTCGAACCCAGGAGGTGGAGGTTGCAGTGAGCCGAGATCATATCAGTGTACTCCAGCCTGGGCAACAGACTGAGACTCTGTCTCAAAAAAAAAAAAAAAATTGGCCAGTGAGTCGCAGGCGACCCCTGCTGTTTTGTGTGTGGTCTGCTTACTTCTTGGTCAGCCTCTTGTTAGAATGGATCTTTCTCGTCTCTTCCCCCCATTAGAGATGCCTCGGCAGTGGAATCCAATTCCTTTCCAGCCACAACCTACTCCACGGGTCGACCTATCAGATGCGCCGGCCGGGCGGAGAGCTAACACTGGTGAGTGACTCAGGATGCTCAGGCCAGCAGACACAGGGGAGGCCTGAAAATTCCGATCCCATTGGCAGGAGGGAGGTTGTGGGGCTGTGGAGGTGGCTCACACCATCTCAGTGGTGGGCCTTGTGTGTCTGGGGCCTTCTGAATGACAGATCCCAGCGTGCCTGGCCTTCTCGGTCGCAGAAACACTTGACCTGCCTCTTGCTTGATGTCGTCAGGGGATAAGGTGCTGTCAGAATAGCCCGTTGTGTTGGCTGTAATGCTTGGAGGAGACCCTTGTATTGAACTGAATTCTGCTTCCCTGTGACCTCTGCCAGTGGGTGCCTCACCAAGCATGGCTATTTCCTTTCCTGGAAGATAGCCCTTTGATCATTGGTAGAGTCACCTCGTCACACCCAGAACTCAGTTTATCCTGGTCACTCCTCTTCAACTGTGCTTCTGTTGGTGTCTCAGCATCATGAGGACAGAAGCCCAAAACCTGACTCCCTTCCCCAGATCGGTACATTTAGGCAGCGCACACATTCTCTCTCTCTCTCTCTCTCTCTCTCTCTCTCTCTCTCTCTCTCTGCGCGCCCAGAGCCTCAGCTCAGCTGCCTCCTCGCAGGCAGCTACCTCCCTCTCCAGTCCTGTTCTGGGGCCATCGTGGGTGTGAGACAGGACCTGTGACTCTTCCCTTACTTGTCCAGTCCCCCACCACACACACACTCCCATGGCTTGTAGCCCAAGAGTCTCTGGTAGGGCTGCCATAAGGTTGTGTGATCCTGGATGGTCTTACTTAGAACTTGGGCTTCCCCTGGAGAAAGGCTAGCCAGGGTGGCATCTGAATGGGACTGCAGCCTGCTGACAGGAGGCCTGGCCACCTGTCCTGGGGAGCAGCACTGGGCCTTTTTTTTTTTTTTTTTTAAAGACAGGGTCTCACTCTGTGGCCCAGGCTGGGGTGCAGTGGCACTATCACGGCTTACTGCAGCCTTGAACTCCTGGGCCTAAGTGATCCTCCCACCTCAGCCTCCTGAGTAGCTGGAACCACAGCTGTGTGACTCCACACCTGAGCACCAGGCTGGATGCAGCTTTCTCTTGTAGCTTGACAGGAGCCAGGGAGGGGATCCCACTTGGAGCTGGTATACCCAACACAGCTGTGGAAAAGTTGACCACAGGTGGCCACTTCCCCCTGATTTGATTATCGTATGATCATTCATTAAACTGTTTCTCTGTTTTGTTTTGTTTTGTTTTTTGAAACAGAGTCTCACTCTGTCGTCCATGCTGGAGTACAGTGGCAAGATCTCGGCTCACTGCAACCTCCACCCCCAGGTTCAAGCAATTCTCCTGCCTCCGCCTCCTCAGTAGCTGGGACTACAGGCACCCACCACCACACCTGGCTAATTTTTGTATTTTTAGTAGAGACAAGGTTTCACCATGTTGGCCAGGCTTGTCTTGGACTCTTGGCCTCAAGTGATCCGCCCACCTGGGCCTCCCAAAGTGCTGGGATTACAGGCGTGAACCACTGCGCCCAGCCTGCCTTTTTTTTTTTTTTTTTTTTTTGAGATGGAGTCTCATTCTGTCGCCCAGGCTGGAGTACAGTGGTGTGATCTCGGCTCACTGCAGCCTCCGCCTCCCATGTTCAAGCAATTCTCCTGCCTCAGCCTCCCGAGTAGCTGGGATTACAGGCACCCACCACCACACCCGGCTAATTTTTGTATTTTTAGTAGAGACGGGGTTTCCCTGTGTTGGTCATGCTGGTCTGGAACTCCTGACCTTAAGTGATTCGCCCACCTTGGCCTCCCAAAGTGCTGAGATTACAGGCGTGAGTCACTGCACCCAGCCTTGTTTTGCTTTTATAAGGCTTTATCTTTTTGAGCAGTTTTAGGTTTACCGAAAAATCCAACAGAATGTCCAAAGAGTTGCCATGCCCCTCCTCTCCCATCCAGCACACAGTTTTCTATTCTTCACCTCCTGCATTAGTGTGGCGCATCTGTTACAATTGACTGGATGTTGATACATTATTATTAACAAACGCATAGTTTATCTTCTGGTTCCCTCTTGGTGGTGTAGGTTCTCTGTGTGGCCATGATTACAGTATCATAATAGTCGTTTCACTGCCCTAAAATTTTTCTGTGTTCCCCCCACTCATCTCACCCTCTCCCTGCCAACCGCTGGCAACCACTGATCTTTTACTGTCTCCAGAGTTTTGCCTTTTCCAGAATGTTCTATAGTTAGAATCAGACAGTATGTAGCCTTTTCAGATTAGCTTATTTCACTTACTATGATATACATTTAAGGTTCTTCTATGTCTTCTCACAGCTTGAGAGCATATTTCTTGTTTTTTTTAAAATTATTATTATTATTATTATTATTTATTTTTGAGATGGACCCT